TTATCAGCAGGGACATGTGTCTGGAGAAGGACATGATGCTTGATAAAGTAGAGGGTCACCGAAAAAGAAGAAACCCTCAGTGAGATGGACTGACACAGAGCTCGGACATAGCAGTGATTGTGAGGATAGCACAGGACCGGGCAGTGTTCAGTTCTTTTGTGCACAGGGTCTCTCTATGAGTCAGAACAGACCGAGCAGCAACTAACAACAGGAGTGGCTACAATCTCCAGCAGTTCTGTAGGTGTTGGCTGCCTGAATGTCATCACTGGTGAAGTGTCTTTTCATGTCTTCTTTTAATTGGATTGTTTGCCTTTTTGTTGTTCAGGTGTTGGTGTTTTCTGTAAATTTTGGAGGTAAGTCCTTTGTTGCATGTTGATTGATGGTTTCTGTAAAGTATTGGATTCCTGGGGAGAAATCATTCTGTCATTAACATTGGTGGCCTTGTTCCATTGTGTTGGGCCTTTTATTGCTAATGATGGTCCGGTGCTTCTCTGTTCTTATTCCTTTGTATTTTCCTCCTCCCTGAGAGAACCATCTGTTCATTTTGTTTGTTTTTGAATGGAACATACGTGAGGAATTCATGTTTTTGGAGAAAGAGCACATGGACCACTCTGGATGTAGATTTCATTTTGTCCTCCTGTTTTCAGCCCCACACTTCATCCTCATGTTCTCTGTCAAAGGTGACATTTGGAACTTGACAGGGTCTGAGCGTCCCTGGAGCCCTCCAGGGCAGATAGCTGCCCCTCTCTCTGTACTGTCCGGCATTGGGCTTCTGCTGCTGCGTTTCACCAGGCACCAGTCCTCCATCGGCTTTGGCTTTTCTGAAATTTATTTGAATCTCTTTCCTGCTGTTCCCTTTGTTATTGTGAGTTTCTGACACACACCCCACCCCCATCCAGTGTGGTTTTAATGGTGTCTCAGAAGATAGGAGCCCTGGGAGCACAATGGTTCAGCACTCAGCCAATAACTGAAAGGTGGACAGTTTGAATCCACCAACCCTTCTGTGAGATGAAGAGGTTACAGTCTGCTCCTATAAAGATTACAGCCTTGAAAATCCTATGGGGCAGTGGTACTCTTGCCTGTAGGGTCGCTATAAGTTAGAATTGCCTTGATGACAATGAGTTTTTGGTCCTGAGTCTATGGATCGGTAAGAAGCACTGGTGGCATAGTACTAAGGCACCTGGCTGTCATCTGCTCCATAGGAGGAAAGTGTAGTAGTCTGTTTCTGTAAAGATTGACAGCCTTGGAAACCCTGTGGGTTAGTTCTGCTCTGTCCTAGAGGGTTGCAGTGATCAAAATTGACTTGACAGCATGGAGTGTGGGTTTTTTGGGGTTTTGGAACATAGAGAACATAGACACTTGTGTTCAGAAGAGAAGAATGAGAAGAGACATGAATGACACTGCTTTTCCCATGTGTTGAATTCTTTGTTGGCTCACAGTATTTGCTGGAAGTGTATATAAAATATTAAGTGGTCACTTTTGACTATGAATGACGGTATTTCTTTAACTTCTCCCTCTTTTAAGGCAAGTAGATTATTATTAGTGATTACAGCAGATAGGGGAACTGAGGCAGTGAGAATTTTGATGTTCATCCATAACAGATCAGTCGTTCCTGGGGCTGGGGGCTGTTTGGGAAGGACACGGGAGCTGTTCAGGATGATGGGAATATTCTGTATTTTAATTGTTGTGGTAGTTATAAGGGTGTATAAATTTATGACAGTTCTTCAAATTGTACACTTAACATAGGTGTATTTTACTTTATGTAAATTATACCTAAAGTTTATGTTTGAAAAAAGAATATTTAGAGATAAGTTAATAATGGTGATAAAATTTAAGTAGAGTTTATAAAATATCAAATTAGTATTCCATGAACTCTCAGTGTGATGAGGGTTTTTTCCCTTCATTTTTGCTGCAAGAGGATTTCCATAGTATTTTGCTGATACCCTAAGATGTCACAGGCTTTTATTTCAAGTGTTTTGCTCTGTGCAGAAAGGTTAATGACATTGACCTACCTCTCAGGTAGTATCATGAAACTTAATGCTTGCAAAGGGCTTTGAGAATTAGGAGTGAAAATTACAGGTAGTATTTCCTTAGAACGATTACCTTAAACGTGTGCTTAAGGAAATTTAAAAAAATAAATGATACCTATCTCTGTATTCAGAAACCAAAAAGATTAAAAAAAAAGAAAAAACCAAACTCACTGCCACTGAGCTGATTCCGACTCATAGACACCCTATAGGACAAAGTAGAACTACCCCACAGGGCATCCAAGGGTCTAAGTCTTTTTTTTTTTAATTGTGCTTTGGGTGAAAGTTTATAAAGCAAATTCACTTTCCATACAGCAGCTTACACACACTTTCTCTCATGACATTGACTACAATTTACCACAGTGCAACAGCTCCCTTCCTGCTTCTCCCCATAGTTACTTCTTCCCTGTGTCCTTCCCTCCATGCACT